ACTATTATTCATATACTTATATCCATACATATTAATACCATTATATTCTTTGTGTATATGTAGATGTAAATGATGTATAATGGAGATTTTATTTACTACACATAATTACTGGCCCAGCTTATGTTGCAATATATATTTATATATATATTCTTATATATATATACACACACATATATATATATATATATATATATATATATATATGCCATAAGTGGGGCAGTAATTTATTGCCATACTTGGGCCGAATGTAAGCGGGTGGGCTGTCAATGACCAGAGACCATATACAAAATGTATATTCGCAGCTAATGCTAAGCTAAATAGTAAAGTATGGTATAATGGCATGACTGTGATTATGAGCTGTTATATCTGCTTTGTTTGTGATGGGTGTGATCGTGGTATGGTTAGCAAGTGTCATGGTTGTGGCTGTTTTGGTTACCAAGGTTGTGACACATATATTGTTAGTGGATGTAAAACCAACATTCAGGGCGGTGCAGGTGCAATAAACTGAAATGGTTCAGTTTGTCAAGCTTGTGGTGAGGCTATTTCCTGAGCTCCCATGGTAACACTAACTTTATGATCTGCTTTGCATTACAGCGCTTTCTTTGCCGAAGGTGTTTTCCCAGGTGCAGTAAAGAGTAATTGAATTACAGCCTAATCATAGCCACAATCACAGCTATAGCTAATGCTCAAATCACAGCCATAGCAAAGGGCACGCCAACCCACGCTCAAGTGGCAAGTGGTTATGGGTGCTGTTGGAGCTTGGCCTTCCTCGAAAAACTCAGCTCTGAATCAACTTTAAGCTTGAAGATGAAGACCTTTGTGAAGAGAATCCCTACTCTGACTCCTCACTTGCTAAAAATATTTGTTATGCTTTTTACTTTTAAAAATGTAACCTAGAAAATGACAGTCCAAATGAGGGTATACCAAATCATTCAAAATAAGAATGATCTTTTTTTATTCAAATGAACATAATGCTTCAACACCCAATCGTATGCGTATTCCGTGGAACACTTTTTCTCATCACAGAGACAATATGTAAAAGACAACTTAAGACAGCTGACTTTGAAAGAGCACAGAGGAAAGTAGTAGGAGGAAGGGTGTTAACATTCCCCTGCCACTGACTCACTCAAACCAACTAACTATGATCATTTCCAATTCTTCGTCTTAACCCTTATCAACTTTTCCTGTGGTGAATATGTGAAAAGGTCAAATCAACTGATATTTAACATTGTCACATAATCTACTTGGAGATGGATTTATGTAGTACTCTCACATATGCACACATTCTGTTTGGACTGGAATATATAATACGATGACAGCACAGACAAAGCCTTAGAACAACAGCAACGTGTCATATATTGGTACACTTAGAGAGATGTAAATATGTCAACTTGGCTCCATAGACATGAATTCATTATGTAACTCATACACTCAAGTATATATGTACATAGTGAGCTTAAGTACACTTCATTAGTGTGCAGTATTTTGAAATATGAATGGAACTTGTACTGTATGCCGGTTATAATTACAATGGGAGTGAATGGGCTGCCATACATTTTAATGTATTATGTATACCTAATAAAGTTATATGCAGTGGAGCTATAAATAGAGTGGAATCAATGGCATTGCTGTTAAAATAACAGATATAAAAAAAAGGTTTTGCCTGTAAAAGTCACTTTTTTTTTAATTTGTGAAAACACCAGTCGGCCACCATTTTTTCACCCGTTTTCACAGAAGATAAAAAAGATTTAAGGAACTTTAGAGATTATCCTTCCTGGGCAAAACCTTATTATTCACTGTGTGTGGGATGTAGTGGCATCTAGTGGTGAGATTGCAGATTGCAACCAACAGCAGATAAAAACAGCTCGTTCTAAGGTA